TTGTAATGACCCGTCAAAACACAGACTGAGAACACTGCTGATTTCTGAAGTTCTGCCGATGGAATGGATGCTTTGCTGAGATTCCCGCATTCTGCTGTGTTTTCTAAGTCTGTCTGTGTGTGCGTGCTTGCGACCTGCATGCCTGTCTGAGTGCTTGTCGGTATGAGTGTGTGTGACCCGCAAGGGTAGTTGCTTGTTTGGTAGGCCCGTAGGGCCGGTACTTACCTGTGGCCGTGACATTGAGGGTTGTAGCAGGGAAAAACACTCAAGTAGGCGAAGCTAGCGGCCCTGAGGCCCTTGGGGTAGCGGAAAAACACTCAAGTAGGCCGGTAGGCCGATACTGCACCCCACTGCAGTTGGCGTGAGGGGGTACTGGAGGCCGAGCAGAAAAAGACAAAGTTGGCATTTTTAGAGTCCAGTAGCAGTAGGGTAGGTCTAGGCCGGTACCAGTCCAACCAGTCTGAGTCTAGAGCCTGTACGGGTAATATCAGAGTCTGCAATGATGTTTCCCTCCGAAACGGAGGAGGTACCGGTTGCTTGGGAGGCCGAGCGGCCTGGAAGTCACCGCCCAAGAGGCAAGCAGGCCGCTATATCTAGAGGCGGAGGCAAGAGCTCCGCCTCATTCTTCAGTGCGCGAGTTGGGCGTCACGCTGCTGGAGCGCTAGGTGGAGGAGCGCTGGGCTCTACAGCGCTGCTGGGAGGAAGAAGCTGGGAGCTTCCTCAGTCGGTAGGAGGAGGAGGGAGAAGGGGACCAAGGAGGAGAGTGGTAGGGTACTTACCTGGCTATGGTAGACACCATCTTCATCTCCTTGATAGGCGCTGCATCAGGAAGGCCCCAGTGGGGGTAGTGCCGCATCAAGGAAGCTCGGACAGAGTCAGGCATGGCGGTTGAGTGGGCAGCGGKATAGCTGCTGGGTGATGACCTTGAAGGAAGGCAGCGGTGTAGCTGCTTGGGGTTGTCCTTTGTACCGGAGGTTGAAACCTCCGTAGTCCGCCATAGCCTCGGCCTGTATGGGGAGGAAGAAGAAGGGATGCCATGGCTATGGTGGACCTCATCTTGTGCCTGCAGTAGAAGTGGGATTCGGACATTGATTCTGGTTCAGCTGTTCAACATTACTATTGTTTATTTATTGTTTGAATAAGAGAGGAGGAGATAAAGAGGAGGAGGTTGTGGAGTGAAGAAGAAGAGCTTTGTCTTTGGTCTATGCTGGAGTACATCATCTCTTCCTTCGTTCTTAATTCTTCTTCTTCTTCTTTCCCTCTCTCTCCTCTCAAGTTCTTTCATTTCTTTTGCAATTGGACGGCATTGGGCTCAAGTTCATTCATTTCTTTTCGCAATTGGACAACATTGTACTTTCTGATGATTGTGGACTTCAAAATTGGCCAGGATCGTAACAGACTTCTTGATTGAGGGTGGCGGAGGCGGAAGGGGGGGGATTGAAGGCGGGCCTTGACGGTGAGGGGAAAGGCGGGGCCGAAGGGGGAAGGCGGAGCCGGTGGGGGGAGAGTGGTGGGGACGGGGGGATAGGAGGGAGGACGGCTTTCTTTTCCATCATTTTTGCAAAATGCAAAAATATTAGGCTACCTGCCGAGCCGCCCAGGTCATCTTGTTTGCCCGGGCGGCCCGGCCGTGCAAGGACCAAAGAAGTTCCCAGCAAAAAAAACAAAAAAAAAGTGCAGCAAGACATGCTGGACACGAAGTGCAGACGCTTCGCATCTGCTCTTTGAACCTCTATGAATGTGCTTTTTGTGCAGAAAAATAAAATTTGTCTCAGGGTCACATCAAAATTCTTTACCGAACTTAAATATATATAGCCTCCTGATGAGTCGGTGAAACTCCGACGAAACAGTTTGTCACAGCCCCTCGTTTGTTGTCCTCTTCTCCCTCTCTGCCTACGGTTTACCGGGCAGTTCTATTTGACGATATATATCATCATATATCTTCTCCCTCTCTGCCTACGGTTTACCGGGCAGTTCTATTTGACGATATATATATATTATATAATATATACATATAATATATATAGTGATTGGGTGTGAACCGACAGTCTGTAGAGTTTTCCATCTGGTGTGGATGAGTGAGTCTGCTTTGATTTTCGTCACAGGTACCTTGAGGGCAGTGGTTGGTGCCCACCTCAGGGTATCAGTTCAAGATTTTTATGTACATCGTTGAAATATGATGCCTCGACAAAGTACCCTGATTGTTCCTTTTTTTCTCATCTTTTTCTTTCACGGTTCAGGTCTGGCAATCTGATAGTCTCAGAGGAGAATGAGATGTGCAGTACATACCCAGCACATGTGGCTGAATGGTACACACTACTTCGCCGATCTAACTGGTTGATAACCAGAGCACGAGCTGAAATCCTGACTGAATCAGGGACATGACGATGATGATAGGAGGCACCATGCCTCCTTGGGAAAAATGAAAAAGATGTGCAGTACATGTACCGTATGCCAGCTATACTTTGTAAGTTTTTTGAAAATTTTGGACCATTTGTCGATCTGTGTGTGTCATCCTTGCACACAGGGGTCATGGTAATCTTGTCTGTATTGACGGATGCCCCGAAGGACTATACTTTGCAACATTTACCTGTGAACAGTGTGAAGTTCATTCTAACTTTATATCCTTCATACGAGCTCGCTCACTCATTTTGTGCTCGTTACCCCAGCTTTGGGAGGTGCATCATGCATGTATTTTTGTGAGGCCACTCCATTTCATGCACCACCTGCACCAGTCCTAGGTTCTTGGTACTTTTTCGCAGTTTTTAGGGATTGCATAAAACTGTGCTTGTTGGGGGGAGGGGAGGGGGGCGCGGGGGTAGAACTCTCACCAGTATTCAGGTTGCTGTTTGTCGGTTTCTGCCTCCTTTTTACGATGCAGCTACATGTGCTTGACCTGTTTCTTGACTGCCTGACGGAGGAGAATGAGAAATTGATCGAGTTTGGAATGGCTGGCATCTGCAACTCGTGCTGTGGTTCGTGTGTCATTTCCCCATTCATAGTATCTTTTTCTTTCCCCCAAAACAAAAGAAAAACAGGATATCCCTTTCTACGTTTGTGGTGGTGGGTCATCCTGAATTGTACAAGGGCCATGCTAATTACTCTTCTCTATCTGTCATTCCATTCATTCATCATCTTCTCACTGCAAAAACCATTCATTTCTTAATATTTACTATTTCTATTTAGTAAAATATTTACTACTGTGTGGGAGTTCATTTCTTTTTCTTTTCCTGTGTGAATCTCACCATGGATCTTCTGAATAATTCATTCATAGATCTCCTGAACATGGATCTTCTGAATAATTCATTCATAGATCTCCTGAACATGGATCTTCGAAATAATTCATTCATAGATCTCCTGAAGAGAACATTTAAAAAAAAAAAAAATTCCCCGCTTTTTCCAATAAATGTAATCTCATTTCATTGCCTCTCGCATAGGATGTTGAGGCCATGGTTCTGACAGTCCACCTGGGAAATCTTAAGACCATGTATGCCATGCTTCAGTTATAGAAGGAATAGGTAACCTGCGAACACACAGCTGACAGTGCTGCCAGAATTTTGAAATAATTTATTTGGAATTTTGGATTATGTGACAACATATTCAGGCACTGGTGTGTGTGTGTGTGTGTGGAGAGAGAGAGAGAGAGAGAGAGAGAGA